GGAAAATGTGATTGATACATGTTATGCCACATACAATCTTACATATGTATAATAGTGTTTCTTTACCGCTCACTCAATTAACATTTGCCTGGCAATTAGGGTGCTGATTTGCACAAATCAATGCGACACGGCCACTCCTACACGCCCACACAGAACGGCCTGACAATAGTAGCAATATACAAGTGCCTGCTACGTACTGCTATGTTTCGGCGTGGTCATACGCCGGAGTGGGGCAATGAAAATGTAATTTTGATTACTAGCACGCGCCACTGCAGTGGCTGGGAATCGTGTCTGGTCAGAGTTCTGTCTATTGATTTGTCGGCAATACTCAATTGTGCTGTGCGCCACTTAAGCTGTGGTAAGAGGAGTACTTGCGGTATGCTTGTAGTTGCGTACATACTCAAGATTTTGAGACATCATTTGGATTCTTATATTGCATTGAATACTCGCATTCGTAAAGCACTCCAACTTAATTAAATGAGGAATACATATCCCTCAGATTTCACCTTTCAAGTGATCAGTTTCCGCTTTGATCCGCGTAATTATATGTCATTAAGGCTGCTGCCATCGCGAACGAACTGTCAGCTGCGTCAGCACTTTTCGTCACAGCTGACTCATTGTCATTGTCATGGGACTACATATATTTACTGTCGTAAATGGCAAAAGGAGTTCAAAGCACCGCCTTGCACTGGGGTCCTGGCACCCATAGGTATAGGCATAGGCTAGGCTCAGGCAACACACGCTGTGTGTGTGTGTGTGTGTGTGGCTCATACCCTAACTTATGGCCTTGAAAACGTTGGCTCCAAGTCCATGGAGCCAGAGCCGAAGCCGAAGCCGGAGTCAGGGGAAGCACGTAACAGTTGACATTGAAAGAGGCATTAAAATATGGTAAACTTTTATTTTTAGATCAAACAGAAAAAAGCTTGGAAACACACACAAGACGTCGCGTACTCGGACCAGTCGTACAATATGTTAGCTTCAGCAGATTGAATGTGTTTTTGAGAGGTTTTCGGAGAGGGTTTTTTGGAGCTTGGAGTGCTCTGGGTTGACCAGCCAAGCATAGCCAACGAGTCTGATATAAGAATTACTGAGGCAGCTCGATTCCTGCGAAGTCTATCGCAATCCACCGATTGCAATTCATTTTTGTGGCACTTGGAGAATCTATTTGAGTCGCTTTCCCCCCTTTGGCCAACCCACACAATGCTGGGTAATGTATTTGGTTTGCTCTGCTGCCCTTTTTCCCGTAAGTCCGATTGACATTTGGGATATGTCTGGGAAGGATGTGCCTGAAGGCAGCAGGGAGCCAAATCAGAAATGTCAATACTTCCAGTTGAGCGCGGAAAAACAAGCGGCCTGAAAAGTCGCCCAGCTACAACTCATTTTAGCCCGGAAACTAATTTCAGAAAATGTATCGAGCCTGGGAGTTCTATGGAGACATGTCCTGTTTCGACAGGAGCGAAATAGCAGGGCAGGGCAGGGCCGGGCAGGGCAGGACAGGAGGCAGCAGAGGCAGGAGCCCGATTTGCTTTTTGAAGCGGAAGTGACCCTTGAAGTTTGATTTTATTTGTGTTCCGTCATCGTCGTGTCTGTCCATGTCCCCTAGCCTGGAATTTTGCCGTTGGCAAACAGATTTTCGCCATGTCCATACTTATTTATTTGCTGTTGCCGTTGTCGTTGTGCCGTTGTCGTTGCCATTGCTGTTGCTGCTCAATTTTTAATCAACGGCTATGGCAACGTCTTGGCAGCTTCTCGCACATTTTATGCAATTTCCTGTTTTTCTGCGCACGAAGTCTAATAGAGACAAGCCCAGGCCGGAGATGAGTCCGTGGAGGAGCTGAGCAGGAGACACTCAGCTGGCTGCCTATTTTTAGCAATTTGGCCGTCCAACGGAATTCAATGTCAACCAGAACCGCCAGAGCCAGCAACCAGCAACCAGGAACCCAACGGAGCAAAGAGCAAGTGGTTGGATGGGAATGGCGGAAGTTCTCGGAGTTGGCCTTTTCAAGTGCCAACTTGAACATAAATCGTTGTTAAGACTGAAGTCGATCTCCGTCTTATCCGATTAGGGAAATTGGAAACCAAATTGCATCCCGCTTATGACAGTTGAAAGGCTATTGAAAGGGTGCTGCTGTTCAACCAATAGATATGAACAAAAACAGTCAATTTGGACTGTCAATAGGGGCAGTGATTGCCTTTTCGTCAGACTATTAAGGCTCTGATTGGTTCGACACATCCGTTTCCCTCTTAGCTTTGCTCATTTGATTCTGGTAAGTGACTCCATTCGCAGCTTTAAACGTAAATTATTTATTTCACCTTATTCGTTTTTTAATGATCATAAAAACGGAATACTTTTGATCCTCGTAAGGTGTCTGTTCCTATGCTGAAAACCTAATGGATAAATGGTGGACATCGAGCTGGTTATGCTCTTGTGAGCACTGGAAAATAAAAATAAAAGTAAATATGTACTTGCATATATAGGAAGAGAGTGTGAGTTAATGCTAAGGGCAGTTTCGATTCCGAAATCATGACATACACTTAAGGGAGGAGCTGAAATCGGCCATAGATGCAAATATTTAATGCAAAATCTGAATTGGCCAGAGATGTAGCTCTTCGGGTGGCATGCCACGGTGGGCGTGCGACGAGCGAGCGAGCGAGCCCAGAAAAATAAAGCGTCGGCCCAAGGTGTCGGAGGCACGGACGGACAATGGAGCAACCTGTTCAGCCGACGCGACGCGCCTGCAGCGCCTCTCACATGCATATCCAATACAAAGGCACAGGAACGAAGCCTTCGTGTCCTTTTTCGGGTGCGAACTTACGTCACAAACATGCGTAGGCGTCATCATCGTGCGGCGCACCCATGTCCCGCCCCCGTCACCGTACCCGTTCCCGTTCCCAGGTCCAGTCGGCAGACATCGCTTAAAGACGACGACGACGCCAGCCAGGCGGTAATTGCTCCCTCCCTGCCCCATGCCATGCAACTGGGGCTCGGCTCTCTTTTCCCCAACTGTCGGTGTTGGAAAGGTGGGGGGAGGTGGGTGGCCTGAATGAAATTTTCGTTGCTTCGATTTTTGTTGTTGACGTAGTCGTTGTGGTCGGTCCCGTCGTCGTCCCAGCGCCTGCGCAGTGACCGGGCAGAATCATCTGTTGGCTCCCCGAATCTGTCCTGCCCGCCTGCCATGCCCCAGCAAGTGCATTTGGCTTGTGGTAGGACGGTCGGTCGCTCCAACAGCCAACACCGAATGTGAATGGGGTCTGGCCTGGCCCAGCTCGGCTCAGCTGTTTGCTGCTGCTGCTGCTGCTGCTGCTACTGATTCCTGTAGAGTTTTCCAACCCCGTGTAGACTTTTGTTCCGTGCAACAAATTGTGTCCTCAAGCCGGCTTTTTCCTCGAGAAGTCTGCACGAGAAAATTTGAAAAGGAAGTAAATTAAATAAATACAAATGAAATAAGTTGTAGATCTAATTTTGATATTTAAAAAATGATTTGAATACATAAAGAATCCAGAATTTTGAAATTTCTTTGCGTATCCGTTCTTTATATAGCGGGGGAAATTATACTAAGCGATTCTAGAATTTATCCACACTATTCGGCCACACAGTTTTCGAATGCCATCAATCCCTTGGGACCGAAACTCTCCTGTCCATACTCCCGATGGCTCAAGCTCACCTCCACCACGCTCTGATATCCATGCCCCACCATCCATGGAGCAAGTACGAATATATAATACACAGTTCCAATTGCGCGCTCGTAAAACCTAAAAGCCACAGACATCGTGACGACAACAGACTGTGCTCCATGCCCCATGCCCCATTCTCTAAGCAGCATATTCCCACCTTGCCGCCACCGCGAGAGGCCAGGCCAGGCCAGTCCCCTCCGCTCTCCGCACTTCGCACGCCCTCGGCCAGTACTCTGCTGTTGAATCTTGCATGAGGGGCGTCTGCAAAAACAGCAACACACACAGCAGGTTGCAGGCATCGATGACGACGGTCCGTGGCTAGTCGAATTCTCCTTCATTCATGTTCGCTGTGGCACGATACTCTTCGGCTGCCCTTCGACCCCTCGCCCCCAGGGACTTGCAATTCATGCTTTCGTTCCAGTTTCGTTCTTCTCTCTAATGTGTGGGCGTCATCGTTGTTCGAAGTTCGAACGGATTCGAAGAGGAGACAGACTCGAATTTGTAGGAGCAATGCAGGGGAAAGTGTTTTGTACAGGGGAACGGCAGGCACTGGACATACTATGATTGAATTCAATGCAAGTTACATGTATGAAAAACAAATAAACAAACAAATAAACAAATCTCTTAAGGTATTTAAGACTTTAATCAAATCTGCACACTAACGGCAAAGCTCACATATCCGTTATGGCGATAAAAACATCCGAAATCTTAAATAATGTCTGAATATTTATTCGGGCTGTATCAACCAAATCTCTAGTAATAGTAACTGCCGTAACTGCAGATCGTAGTCTTATAGTTCTTGACCCCCCAATGGGTTATTCCTCTTATGGGACTCTCAGCAAACTTTCCGTGAAATTGATGAGCAGTCCGTAGATTTTCGGGGTTTAACCAATGAAAAATGAATGCATGTGGAGAACAATTAGCGACTGAGCCGCAATCAGCACACAAATTGAAGTATTAGGTGTGGTGAGCAGGAGGCGGAAGCAGCTGATACTTGGGTATGTACTAGGTAAATCCTATTACCAAATGGGAATACTTTCGAACTCTCTCACCTTTCCCCTCCACCATTGTCTTTGGGTTGGGCAAGGGTGAGGGACGGAATAGGACTCAAAACCATATGTGAGTTGAGTGCTGGGCGGTGGGTGGTGGTGGGGGAGTTGGCAATGCCGGCAAAACATGCGCAAAAGAGCTCTCGGCTCTCGCAATCACTGGACGCTCTCTCCGCCTCGGGAAAACTCTACACAACGGATGGATGGATGGTCTTTTCGGGCTGGCTTGAAAACAAGTGGTTGAGCGAGCGGTCTCTTCAGTATTGAGCGAACAGACGCAAATGCCGTTTCGTGCTCGCTGCCATTGAAGCCGACTGAGTGCCGTTACAGGAAGCTGGGACGCTGAGACGCCGAGACGCCGAGACGACTCTGAAGCTGAAACAGAATCAGCAGCAGCAGCAGCACCAGCAGCAGGGCGGGAGTATCGAAGAAGTGGGAGAGAGTGAGTGAGAGAGGACACAGCAGCCAGCCAGGACGAGTGAAATTCGAGGCACGAAACGAATGCGCACGACCACGACCGCCATCCGAACACACACACACATAAATACACTCACAGATGGGCATATCCTACAGTTGAAATACGAAACGCCTTGAGCAGAGACAGCAGCAGCAGCACCAGCAACAGCAGCAGCAGAGGCAGCAGTAGCAGCAGCGACAGCGACAGCGCAGAGACCCAAAACGCGTCAGGATTCCAAGCAAAAGGCAGACAAACGGGCGAAACCTGCTGAGACGACTCGACGAGTCCTTGCGTGTCGGTTCACAGTGCGGAACACTAGAAAAACAGAACAGAAAAAGCAGATATATACATATATCCAAATACCACTCACATCACATATGAAAAAGTTCCCCCTCCACATCCATCAATCAACGAAAAGCATACGAAATCCAAATTGTGAAAGTCGAAACAAAGTCTAAAGGATTTCAAACACATAGTATTTCCAAATCGAATCGAAGCCAAGTGAAGTGAAGATATATTTTTCAAATAAGTTCTTAAAATCATTTGTAAGTGAATTTTAATTGATCGAATTGAAAAGAGTTTGAGAATAAACCGATAACCGAAACCGAAACCGATAACGGAAACCGAAAACAAAGTGCCGTACGCCGAAAGCTATAAGAAAAAATTCAAAATAAAAAGTGCTAAAAGTTCCTTAAACCAATATAATACAAATAATATTGTTATAACTATAAATTATACAAAAATATACACACAAATATTCTTTGCATTTTAACAAACAAACAAACAAACGAACGAAGAGAGTAGAGGAGTCCCAAGTGCCGTGGAAACAAAAGTAGTTGGAAAACTAAAGAATTGAAAGCCCAGGGAAATACAAGATTCCAGATACTAACTTATATACACATTGACTTCTATATACATATATTTATTATTTTGGTGGTGTGTAATAATTCTTCCTCGTCAGCAAAACGGCCAAGAGGAAGCGAAGCGTTCAGCCCAGGACTCCAGAAGTAGCTGTAGAGGCAGGTCTAGAACAGCAGACGAACACGGACGGGCAGCAACTAGTTGTTAGACCTGTACACCCGTACCCATACCCGTACCCTCCTCCTTCATCAGTCACGTCTCCTAGGTGGGAGAGCGAGCACTGTCTTACGGCGTTGTTGGGGCGTGCGAGTGTGTGTGTGTGGGGAAAGGCCAACAAGGTTCAAATCCTCAGCAACAACCTCAACCGCATCTAATTGGAGAAATTCCAACCAACAAAAACTCCAACTCCTACTCTAACTCCAACTCCGGTACTGAAAGTAGACAATTGATTATTGATTTTGTCTAAGGCTGTGTGGAACTTCGCAGCTTAACGGAGCGAAGCAGGGCCACAAAACAAACTTGGCAACAAACACGGCCCCCACGAAAGAAGGCAGCAAAAAGCAACAGCAGCGAAAGAGACAAAGAGACGTGGAAAAAAACTGGGAGAAGAAAGTGTAAGACAAAAACGCGCTGAAAGGGACGACAGCCAAACTAACGGGCCGCTTGTCTGTGTTGGGCAATGCCAGGCCAGGCGTAGGCCGTCACAGTGTTGGGCAGCGGCGCGCGGCATGAAGACCTACAAGAGCTTCGCTTCGAAATTGTCAACCAAATAGAGTAATCATCGCCCCAGCGACGAACCAACAGGAAAAGCCTGTAATCTGAAGAGCAGACCTATTTTCCCCTCCCCCGCCCTTCCAGCGACTCTGTGCCCCACCGTCGCACCCCTCTTGGACGGAACATATTTCGCACATATTCACACAGAATCACTGCCGGGACCTGCGGGACCGGTAATCCGTCAAAATAAGTTGTCACATTGAGAAACTGCGACAAATCAACAAACGGAAAATGTTCTTCTCGCTGGCCCAGACGCTGTTCTGCGTGCTACTCATCCAGGGCGGCCTCTACGCGCTGCACCTGAGCGGCAATGGCGAGAAGTCTTCGCCATCCTCCACCGTTATGATGGGACCGGTGGACGGCGGCACTGGCCAAGCGATCGGCCCAGACACCTCATCGTCCTCCTATTTGTCGTGGAAGCCGGCGCCGTCACAGCAGCAGCAGCAACACCATCAGCAGCATCCGGGTGGCGTCCCGCCGGGCGGTGGACACGCCTCCTCGCATCGATCCGCGGCAGCGGCCGCTTACGACGCCACCACGGTGCGGCTGAACAAGGAGATCGCGGACATGGCACAGCTGGAGCGGGAGCGGCTGATGCTGCTCGCACGAGCAGGCAAGCAGACGGCGGAGAGCAACGGTCCGACGGGTCATGGCGGTCGCGGACACCAGTTCATTGCCGGACGCATTCAGATGCAGCCCAGCGAGGAGCTGGATGTGGGCGACTATCCGGCGCTGCTGCAGCAGGCAGCCAGGGGCTTCATCTTCGGCAGCGTGCAGAAGGAGCCGCCTGCTCCGCTGAGCACTGAGGAGGATTACGGGCAGCTGCAGGAGCGGGACAGCCATCCCGTCAAGTACTACGGCCGGGTGGTGGAGCCCGCGGATCGCGAGGAGGAGATAGAGCCAATCTACGAGCCCCTGCACTCCTTCGGGGACTTTGACGACTTCTCTGAGCTGGACCAGGAGCCGCATCTCGGCGAGGAGGAGCTGCTGCGCGAGCTGGACACCTATCAGTACCACGGCATGGAGGAGGAGCCGCTGCCGGAGAATCCCTATCGCACCCTGGAACAACTGGAGCTGAGTGCACCCGAGTCCATGCAGCAGCTGTTCGAGCAGGATCACCGCGACGGGCGTCCGGCCAAGTTGGCTGGTCACCCGGGCCTATCCCATCCCGGAACTGGAAACTTCAACATTCGCATGCAGCAGAAGTGGGCCAGGAAGCGGGGCGGAGCCGCAGTGGGCGTCGGACCGGACAGGCAGCCCTCGCTACAGCGCAACATCTTCGGGCAGCACTTCAAGCAGCAGCGTGGAATGCTCTCGCTGGCCAACTCGGAGGCCACGGCCAGCAAGCATCTGAAGGCGAGTACACGTTCTGGCAGCCTCAGTCTCAGTGCTCCCAAGGATAATGAAAAGACAGCCCAGACAGACGCAAGTGGAGCAGCCGTCGGAGACGGTGCTGCCTCTGGTGCTGCCAGTCAGCAGCAGAACAAACAGCAGCACGAATCCACATCTGGAGATGCTCAACCGCAGCAGCAGAAGCAGCAGCAGTCGAATTCGCAGGACAAGAAGTCCGAGTCCGAGCAACAGTTGCTGCATCCCAACCACAAGCGTTCCGGCAGCGTAAAGGCCGGCGGAGTGGGTGCCCAGGGCGGCGGATATGCAGCAGCGCCATCGGTCTCCCATAGCGTAGCCAGTCAGTTGATGCTGCGCACGGCACGCGGCCAGAGGCAGTACGATGTGCCACAAATCGGTGAGTACCCAATAAGCTGGAATAAGTGTAATGAGTGCCACGGAAATCGATGAATCGAAACTGATTGGGCTAACCTATGACCTTTAACCCCCCCTACACCCTAGTTCAACATCCTCCATGCCACAAAATTGATCTAATCAGACCTCGACCCAAAGAAAGGTAAAGGCCCAGGCACAGGCACAGCAAACAAAAACAGTCAACCGACCAACCCCAAGCCAGTCAGGCTATTGCTTAGTGCCATTCCCCATTCATTACCTGCACTCGTACCTGTGTATATTCCATGTCAGCTAATTTTATACGCGCCCCAACGCCACTGCCAACCCCCCTCCTTCATCCACCTTCATCGCTTGACCCTGGCGTGCCTTCTAATTCGGTTATTAGTTATTTTTCGAGGTACTTTTATTCTGGTCTGACCTGAAATCCATGTCACAACACTCGACTTCCTGGCCAAGGCCGCTAATCGGTCTAATTTCGAACCAAAAATACATATGTAGTACGTTCCAGCCAGATACGCCCCATTGGGATTTACGGTGGCTCACAAGCTGAGTAAAATGTTTATAGGTGGTGCAGAAAGGGAACACATAAAGTACTCGTATATTAAATTATAGTTATATATATTATAGTGCCGTTGTACAAAACATCAATCAACCATCGACAATTGCACTGCAATTAATAGTTTGTAGCCAGCCCTATTGTCTCAATGCTGCGAAACTGCAATGACAAAGTTCTCTGCACTATTTCCATTCGTTTTTCAGCTATTTTTGGTAACTTTGCCAGCCTCCCTCCACTTTGGCCATTGCATTTAGCAAATTAGTCGGCGAGAAGCTGCGAGGCAGCACAGCCCCATGGCTCTACTTTTGAGACTGCCATTCTCTGGGGGGAAGTTCGTCCTTGGCTTTTACCCATTTCGGCTGTTGTTAATCACTTGGATGGCTAAATTACTTTACAACAAGTTTTGATGGCCTCCATGAATACGGAATGGGCTTAGAGGCGCTGACATTGGCACTGGTACTGCTCTGGCACACCAAGAGGACTTGCTTGGTCTGGTCTGGTCTGGCAATCAATTTTAATTTTTAATTAACACTTTCAAGTTTAATGGCGGCCATTGTTATGGCCGAGTGCTAAATGCGAATTCATTGTCCGCCAACAGAGCGGTTGAGCAGGAGGGAAATGAGTGAGGGAGCCAGACAGGATAATCTGTAACTGGAGACTCGAAACTTTATTTATATTCTACTTAATAATTTGAATGAATGATTTTTCAATTGATTTCTCGGCAGCAGCAGCAGTTGTGTGAGTAATCGATTGAATGTTCACGGATAATCTGTTAATTGTTAATTGATTGCTGTATTTTATTGAACGATAAATGCGAGTATATGTGGGCGTTCGTCCCATCAAGTCACGTACGTTGTACAGCTGCTCGGCAGCAATGGTATTCCTGAGAGCGAATCAGTTCCTAGAAGATGTTCAGCATAGCAGAAGAATAAAATGCGATTTAATATTTTCTGCACATGCGTGTACTCAATGTTTCCCTGTTTGAGTTTCTATTAATTTAGTTTTAGTTGCTTTCCCTAGGATCCATCACAATAATTCAGCCAATTGGAAATCAATTTCATCAGAAATTCATGGGTAACGCACCATGAAACTGATTAGCCAATTAAATTTGATTGGAATGCTTACCTTTCTGCCTTACTTGGCCTCTGCCTTCCTCTTTTGACCCAGAAAGCATCTTCTTTAAGTGGATTTTCGAATTCAAAAATCCAATTAAAAATCAAATGAGTTCAATCAATGAATTTTCATTTTATGCGCATGTTTGGAGCGTATTTTTCCATTGTTATTGCTGCCACTGCCACTGCTGCTTCTGCATGTGCTTCCTCTTTTTCATTTTTTGCTGGGAAAATTCCCTTTTGGTGTTTCCACTTATCCCACATTTCATTCCACCCTCTCTCTCTCTCTCTCTCTCTCTCACTCTTTCTCTCTTCCTGTGTTTATTTGTTGCCTTACAACGTCATCAAGTGTCAGGTCAGCTGCAAAGCCGTCCACCGGCAACCGACAACCGACAACCTCCAACGAAGACATCGGCCCTCTGCCCTCTGCATACCCACATTTGTTCACACTTTCCCTTTGTTTTATTGGGAAAACTACAATGGTTGTAATCAAGGGGAAGAGGCACAAACACATGTGGTTCAAACGGTAGCCGCTTGTCGAGGTGCCCTGCGGCTCGTCGACTACCCGTCACCCGACGGATAAAGAGTTTTCATACTGAACAACAAAAAAACAAAACCACTCGCACTTTTTCCGGGGAATCCTGCGGCCGCGGTGGCAGTTTGACATCATTAAGATCTGCACGATGCGGTTTCCCACTAATTCAGTAACAGCACCCCGGGGGGCCCATCACGCCGGACAGGACCCAGCACTAGGACACGGCCACGGACACGGACACGGACAGGCAGAGACACCTACGGTGGCACTGTCAGTGGCAGAGAGACGACACTCATTCATTCATGGACGCCTGTGTTTGGCATGTCCTTTCTCCCACGCCTACATCCTGGCACTTTGCCTGTCCCTCTCACTCTCACTCCCACTTCCACGCTCACTCTTGCTCTCACTCCTTCCTCTGCGTTTATGGATGTCTGTCTGTGTGTGTGTGTGTGTGTGTGTGTGCTTGTGCCTCTAGGCTCTCCCAACCATTTTCATTCCCTTCCCACAGTTTCTGGCTGTTGATTTAATTTGTAATTCGAGGAGAGGTCCTCAAGTGGCCACTTGGCGGCGAAAGGATCATCGATAAGTGCGGACTCGCCCGCTCCACGGACTATGCGTCCATTGTTCCATTGTTGCGTTAAATATTACGCAAATTAGTTGGAAATGGATATTGGAGATGTCTCCATGTCGTAAGCGTGGGCGTGGGCGTGGGCGTGGCCATGGTCTCGGTTTCGGTCTCATCTGTTGGAAATTTCCTAAGCCGCACACCAGCGACAGGTTGTCTGGCAGGACATCTGCATTCATCCATCCCGAGGCCTCCGTCAATGCCTGTCTGTGAGGCTCAATAATTGGCTCAATCATTGATATGCAAATAGTCGGATTGGTGTGGTGTTCGACCCACAGAGAGTGTAGAAAATTACTAGACAAATTTCTGTCAGTCGCGCAGCTTTGGTCTGGCTTTGAATCGATCTCGACAAATCCTTGCCTTAATTTGTAAACTTTTCTGCTTTTGTGTGGCGGCATAGAATGCTCCTTGACCTATAAAAAGAGCATATACGCGCACATTTATATACTCATTCAATATATATATATATATATATATATATATGTATATATCTCGTACATACTCGTACGCGTGTATATAATTTTCAAATCCTATGCAGACGCATTTTCCAACAAGGTCGAAGCCAATTTATTCCGCATTTATTATGGACAGAGTTCCTTGCGATTGCATTGGTGGTCTCTGGTGAATGGAATTGCGGCAATCTGGTTCCTGGTTAATTAGTGGGCCACTGAACTGAAACACCACGCCCACCCACACATAGGCTGAAATTTGTTTAATGAAGTCGAAAAAGACAAAAGAATGCCTTTGGGTGGTTAAGAAATAGCAGACAGATAGAGAGTGAGAATGAGAGCGAAAGAGCGTGGAATTTTCTTAGGAATTCTGTTAATGGCAAAGTAAACCAATGGTTAAATATATAACCAGTAGAATGCCCCCACAGTGCAACAGTAACAATTTAAGAGAGTGACAGAGACAAATCAATACACCCATGACATCATCTTTGCCAGCATCCAACCGGCGAGCAGACAGCTAGACAACCAGTCCGTGGAAATTTAAAGCATACAAACAGTCGCTTGGCCTAAACCCACTTCACCCCAGCCCCAACCCTATTCCCATTCCCATCACCATCCTAGTCAGAACCATCACACCCACCTTTATCGCCCACCACCACTACCACCCCAGATCTGCTGCGATGAGGAGTCTGCATATATAATTATGGCACACGATGGCAAAGGCAACGGCGACGGCACGGCAACGGCCGGCGACGAGGCTGTGAGAAAATATTTACATTACCGTAAGACCCGGGGAGGGAGCGGCCAACGGACGACGCGACCATTGAGCAGGCCAATTGTATGTATGTGTGTGTGTGTGTGTGTGTGTGTGTGTGTGTGTGTGTGTGTGTGTGTGCGTGTTGCTAACTCATTCAGCCAGTTTGACGACAGCAGCGCCAAAAGCCAAAGTTTTTCCCTCTGCTTACGTCACAAAAGTCAGACTCTGCGAACTCTGAGATTGATATATACATACATACATATACATATATACATATATATATACATATATATATAAATAAGTAATGTAATGTATGTATGTGTATACTACAACAAATCTGTGGGAAGTGTGGTATGTCGGAAGCTGGGATTCTAGTCCCAGAAAAGGATTGCCGGGTAATGGGAATGGGAATTGGAAATCTAATGGCCAAATAGCTGGCGGTGGCACTCTGCCTCTGCTGTGTGCACTGCATAAATATCAGCTACTTTGCTTCGCTTCGAGTACGAGTAGGAGTAAGAGTAAGAGTTTGGATCACAATGGATGGATGGATGTTAGTGGTAGGGTCGGGGCGGAGGCTGAGGCTGCCCAAAATCTATAATAAGCCACAAGAGGCCAAATGACCGAAACACTTGGCTATACATACATACATATGTATATTGTACGTAAGTCAGCGGCTCCGGCTCTTAGTCATCCGAAGAGGGAAAAATAGAGCAAAAAAAAAGAGCAAATAAATGTATTAGAGTAATTGCGTGTATGTGTGTGTCCTGTATGTGTCCTGTATGTGTGCATCCTCTCTGTGCTCGTGGTAGAGTTTTTTAGTCAATGAAGCGTCAAGGACTTTTGCTTATGATATATTTACCCAAGACAGAGCCAAAAAGCCAGAGCGAGAGAGAGAGAGAGGCAGAGAGAGGCAGAGAGAGGGAGTGAGTTCCATAGAGTGAGCCACAAGAGATGATGCAATGAAATCTAG